TTGTACCCTAAACCTAAACCAGCAGACTGCATTGGACACATATGTACGTACAAATCGTGTTAAACCAAGTTAGTGTTTGCCGGCTATTCATTATGAAAGAAAGGCAAGATAGAAGCGTTAGTAGTTAGTGCATTAGTGCATTAGTAGTGCAGAAAATCGGTAATTTGTACGATCATATGCTGAAATTTTTATGAAATAATTTCTCTATCAAATTCTGCGCCGTTTCAATTTTTAATGTTTAGGTGACGTCACTAGTATTTTCAGAATAAAGATATAACCTAACAGCACGATCAGATATTTAACATGTTACCTTACATCATTAAATAGCTATAAATGCTTTCAAATCTACAACACATAGTTGTTTTGGTGCTAATTGTATGTAATCTATATACTGCTAATTGTCAAAACGTATTGAAGGTTACAGGGATCGTAATTAGTTGAATATTCTACTCAAACAACGATTTTCAGTCATGTAGCCTAACATCCTGAAATGTATTTTTCAGGTACAAAGATAGACGGGAATGTAGCACGAATGGAAGCATCAAGATATACACGTAAATTGTTGGTTGTCAAGCAACATTATTCTCAAAACATTCTGTAAGTGATGAAGACGTTCTTTAATTATGTTCTGTCACATCTGTGGGCCTGTCTGCGATCAATCAGAAGTAACATTTGCCACATCAAGTACTTAGAAACGCTGTATCCACTGAAGAAATTAAGCAACATCGAAATGAGATTAATCCTACACAATTTATCCGGAATAAAATCAGAAGCAAATTAATATTTATATCAGATATTTTGAAAATTTAATGGTTATAATTATTCAGGATGTAATATTATTATGAAAGAGATAATACGAAAATCTATAATTGCTCGCTTATGAGTGACTATAGAAGAAGTTTCGTAAATGGGTTTATTGATCACTTACAGGTTGTAACTACAAGTAATTACAACGTAACACTAATTCAGCCATTCGTCTTCTCACTACAGCACATACTGAGTCTTCTCATTTTTTCACTAGCCGTTTCCTGGTAACATAGCCTAACAATATCTGACAAATGACTAAATTCTACATATGTCGTGCCTGTAACGCCTCGGTAGGGATCACGTCGAAAACACCGCTCCTCACTGTTATAGTTCAATTTTTGATTGTTAAGAAACTGTTGCCTAGCAGTGAGCGTTGTTTACTGAGCCATTACTTAGCAATGGGCCTACATGCTACAATAAGCTAAATTATACGTACGTCAGTTCTGCATATGACAAGTGGAACTTTCGGAAAACAACAAGGTTCAGGAGGACTCAGATTTCTATGAGCAAGTTTATACAGCAGTGACACAGACATCAAGCAGGAGGAAATTAATATCATCTGAGACGTGCTTAATGAGAGAGACGCGGAGTTACGCCATTTCCTACTTGGAGAAATTATAACAGAATTACTAAACTGATTGAGAATAACACAATTACATTTCTGAAGTTACATTTTCGTATAAATTATACCTATCGATTGCCCTACAGCCTTTTCGTTGGACCTTGACCGCTACTCAGTTTCTTGGTCTTTTTACCCAATCGGTAGAACTCCTTGGACGGGGGATTAGCTCATCCCAAGGCCGATGTAAATAATAAAGCATAAATTAAATTCTCAACCAGAACGACTGACATCGTGTCCATATTATAAAAACGGACCGGTTAATGCTGATTAGGGAAAAAATTGCTATTTATTTTTAGAAGCTTCTGAAATACATATATATACGCTCTGTGGGTAAAACGCAGCGAATTTTTGTTTTAATGAGGATGGCGCATAGTTGTCACTGTATTGCAAAATATTAACTAATACTACTGCTGGAAATGAGGGGCACGCGGTAGCGTAATTGGTTGAGGCACTATGCTACAAGCCGGAAGGAGGCGGTTTCGAGTCCCGATGAGTTGGATTTTTTTTCAATTTTCCTAATCCTTCCAGCCGCACTATGGCCCTGGGGTCTACTCAGCTCCTAATAGAAATGAGTACCAGGAATCTTCCTGGGGGTAATGGGCGGCCGTCTCGTAAGGCTGACAAACTCACCGCCATCTGTGAGCCGATTGTCTAGAAAAAGTATCAGCCTCGACGTCTCACAAGCCTATGGGCCTCCACGGCCTGGTACAGGGAGGAACCGGAAGATGATGCTCATGTAAATAGCTGCGATTGAATAAGACAGAATATTTAAATTAACAGCTTAAAGCCAGAGCCCTCTTGCTATTGGAGGTTTGATATTAACATCTACCGGAACGTGATACTGTGTACTATTTTTCATTCCTCGGGGTGTAATAAAACTGAAATATTATTTTCGAACGTAAATAACAGGCAAAATTGTGGAGCAGAAGATGCTATCATGAAAGGAGTCATGGACGATGATTTGAAAACATGAGAAGGAATTGTCGTGACCAATTTAAACCATTTTCCAAGAATGTTTGAGAAAAACCACCAAAATTTCTGTCGAAACAGCTAGAAAATCTAAATGTATTAAAAATAATAGACCCATTTAGCATTTTGTAATTAGCAGGTGAAAATGACAACAATACTATAAATTAATATTCCAAATTATATTCAGTTATTGGTGAAAATGGTATCCGTTGTTCTAAACCTGAAGATGGAGTATGTTTTGCGTATATTAAATATATATAGTTTTGTCATAATATTTGGATCCCTGACAAATGGAAAGGCTATGCTTTGTGCCAGTTTTGCTGACCGGTTGAAAAGGGAGTTACAAATAATTCCATTAACACGGGAACTAAATGTTATACTTTATCGCTACATTATCCACATAAGAGCAACAAAATAAACCAAATTTTCTAGAAGCTCTTCAGGTGTTTATTATTCTACCTATAGTTATTGTTTCAGAATAATTGGAAATCCATGAAGACAGATACTAAACTGTATGCTTTGCTGTTATATTCTTCAGTCATCAGATATGTAATAAACTATCGTTTCTAAGAGCTTTCGATCTATTTACTAGTCTAATAATAATTATAATTGCAGATTAATTATAAATCCATAAATATGGACATTAAGTACTTTTCAGTCATCAGATATATAATAAACTAACATTTCTAATACATTTCGATCTGTTTGCTATTCTACTAATAATTACAGATAACAATTACAATTATAGAATAATTATAAATCCATAAAGGTGGATACTAAATAATTTGCATCGCCTTTCTGTCTTCACATGTAAGCTATATGATAAGCTAATGTTTCTAAGAGCTATTCAGGTATTTACTATTCTATCAATAATTATAGTTACAGAATAGCTTTAAATCCATTAAGAGAGATACTGAATTCTGTTTTACTACCTTATTCTTCACTTATCAGCTATATAATAAATTAAAATTTCCAAAAGCTTTTCATCTGTCTCATATTCTACTAATAATTATAAATATTTATAGTTATAACATAATTATAAATTTATTAAGATGGACGCTAGATCTTATTAACCACTCGTCTTTCTTTCACATATCGGCTACATAATAAATGTAAAATAACTTTTCTAAGAGCTTTTCAGATCTTTCCTATTGCACTAATATGTATATATAATAATTATAGAATAATTAGAAATCCTTTTAAGTGGATACTGAATATTATTCCTATCTGTTCACCTGCCAATTGTATAACAAACTTCGTGTATTTAAGGGAAATGAGATACGGACGGGCAAGCAGAATGTGGAGGAAAGCGGCCTCTACTAGCCACATCAAGAGAGACAGTGTGAGGTCACGGAGGTGTCGGTAAAGACGGATGGTACTAGGTCGGCTTGGCATGGGAGGTGTAACTTCCGAGCGCGTGGTAGCAGCGTGAGGGGAAAATGTGAACTGTCTGCTTGTAGGATGTAAAGATCGGTTTGATATCTGCTTAGCATTAGCTATTAAATTAATTGTTGCTTTAGAACACGAAATTCTCTTCTCAATTTTCATAATAATTATCGAAACATCTTCACAACGATTTGTTTGAAATTATATTGCTCGAAACCGGTCTAAATTGCGCTGTGTAGTCATGGAACCTTAAGTCACTCTTGATACAAGATGGCTGAAATACATGACTGTCGGTGATATGTAAAACGAAAATGGCTACATTACAACTAAGTTATTTATTTAATTAATTACGTCATGAATGCCGATTATAGAATTTCTGGTCAGCAACATACATCTAAACATCTGATAATAAAATCTGATTAAATAAATAATTATGCACTTTACATAACATCGTAATTATTAATTATAATATTATAATTTTTATTACTTCGAATATTGATATTTGCGACAAAAGAAAAATCCAAAATATCTACGTTCTCTTTCGACGAATAATTCATACCAATTTATACAGCTTGTAATTATAAAATTATACACTTCGTGGTCACTAACATATTCCAAAAAGTTGTACTTTTTGCCAAAAATATAGTTATTATTAAAGTGATCACTATAAAAGTTGCGTCGAACAGCACTTCATTAACACTGCACAGTGTAAGTCCACGTACCAAGACTTACTCTCCAACAAGCAAGATTTTGGAAAGTCGTTTATTTTAAAGTTTTTAGACAGTTTTTTTTATTGCTAGTGGGGTGGGACTAAGTCCCTGTACTGCGGCCACTTCTGGCCTATTGTACCAGCCCCAGATGATAGGTGAGGGTGATT